GGGCAAACAAAAAAAAAAAAAAAAGCATGACTTCATGGGTTTGTCTGGCGGGAGAAATTCATTTGGTCAATGTTTGCAAGCGATTGCTTAAATCAATGGGAAAAAACATTTATTGTAGAATCGACTATCTACTTGCGATGAATAAGTGTCTTTTTCGGGACACAAATCATTTCAGATTGAAGAATGGATGCATAACAAGCTTTGCTCCTGGCCGATGAAGGGTATGGCTGAAGAGATCTGTTAAATGACTCCATATCGAAACCCAGAGACACCAGAAAAACCCATACAATAATTTGTTGATGAAGGAACGAGGGGAATTGAACAGTTGCTTTGGACAATTGAGGCCAAGCATTATTTTATTTATTACCTTTTGCCTGAAACGATTTGCTTTTGCTATGTACTGCGAGCAAATGCTCCATTTTTGTTCATCGAACCCATTGGTACCTTTTCTACGTAGAAAAGGTATCTATACGTTGTAGAAGTTGCTCCGACTATCCGCTTTCGAGATGTTTACACCTTAGCTATTCAGCTTCTATACAGTTTAGTTTTGTAGCTTGTAGCAAAACCATCAAGACCGGTGATATCAACACAGAAATTCAATATTGAGCGGGTTGATATGGGACCCTACGATAACGTACCTATACAAAAATAGATTACCACAAAAAATCGAAGAAAACCCGATTTTAAATACTAACGACATCAATCTAGATTGGGAAAGAATCAAGAATAATATCAGGAATTCGGCAATGGAGGCACTTGGGGAAAGAACCGTAAAAGTGAACCAAGTAATCAACCACAAGACACCCAAGGACGGATCCAGGGGGGAGGGTCATGGGGGTCATGACCCGCCTCATTCAATTCTCTATCCAACGATGCCAAAACGAATTCTCTGGCTCGAATGGTTCTTGAGAAACTTCGAAAAAAGCAGCGTCATGTTCAAGTGGATTTTGCAACTCAAAAAAAAACACGCAAATCTAAAACTTCTTGAATTCAAGCATTTTTTGAGAAAACTGCCAACATTTCCTTATCGATGGTTCACTTTCTAAAAAGGCCATTTAGTTCCCTTTGGAATGATGTAAAAACAAGCGTTCTTGCTCATTTTGCTTCCGAGAAACATGCAAAACGGGACAGAAAACATGAAATTTTGCAATAATCTTGCGCCACCCTTGCACAAAACGACGAT